GTAGGGAGAACTGAGTAAGGGAGAAATGGGGCATGGCTGCTAATGAATATAGGGTTTCATTTTGGGGTATTGAAAATATCCTCAAATTAAAAAGTGATTGCACAATTCTGTGATTACACTAAAAGCAAAGTACACTCTAAAAGGTGGATTTTACTGTGTATGAATTCAATTCTATGTTAATAAATCTGACCTAGTTAACACAGGAGCAGCGAGGGTAGCCTTGCTCCCTTACCTGCACTGTCCTGGGAGCACAGGTCTCAGTGTGGGAAGCCCAGGTGGCTCTACTTCTCAGACTCAGAACCCAATTACTCTGTCCTGGCCCATGTCCTCTACCTCGGTAACATTGTTACATCTAGAGAAGTCACACTTTGTCCAGTGCTAGTAAAAATCTCTGCCTTTTTCCTGAACAGATTGCACCACACGTGACCATTTAAGAATATAACATATAGCACATGCCACATATTATTTGGCCAGCTCATGAAAGCAATTTGCAGCCTTGCCCTGCTATCTTTTTGTTCCCAGTGAGTTCCCTGGAAGTATGATACCCATATTGTGTTCTGCAGTGCTTTTTTGTTGTTAAGGATCATAATGTCAGAGGCCTTACTTTTTGTCACCAGGGGCCAGGTAGCAGCTTGAGTGTGTAAAGGATACTCTGGGACACAGAATTGAAGGTGCAGACACCCACTAGCAGGCAGGAGAGGCCGGGCCTTGGGATTTGATGCGCCCAGGTCTGTTCCGGTAACTAATCCTCTTGTCAGACCGTTTCTGAGCTTTACCACTAAGACAGTAATTGTTATTTCCAAGAATGTCCTCAAGGTCCTGTAGGTTGTGACTCCCAATAATTGTCAGGCTATTTAAATTTTATCCAGGGTTAGTGTCCGGATTATTCCTCTGCATTCAAATAGTTTTATAATTAATTATCCAAGTATGAGTTGAGTCCTGTCTTTTCATTAGCCAGATCACTGGAATAAGCAGATCCCAGCATTTCCCACTTTACCTAATAGAAGAGCTTCTGATAGAATTTCTTAGAGAAAAGACCAACATTTTCCCTGAAAAATAGTGATGAAGTCACCTACCTCATAGTAAGGACATGAAAAGAGGGGCTGGATGGGTTAGCAGACCCATATTTATTTCTTGGTTCTGCTTAGCCTCATGGGGGACTGAGCAGTTTGGGGGAATAAGCAGATCTGTTTGCTCGGAGAAGCCGGTGTGCATCCGAGGAGGAGAGGCAGGGAGAGGGAGACAGATGGCCAGCTATTGTGTTACAGCTCTCGGCTGCACACAGTGAAAAACATATATGTAATCGGTGTGAGAGCACTGTCGCAACACTTCTAATACTGTCTGAAGGATAGCCGCTTCCTGAACATTTGTATTTTACAGAATCCTCTATTGAAATGTTTTTATTTACAGGGTTAATCCATTTTAAACCGCTTTAAAGTGAACATTTTCCCCCATTTTTGTCACCACTGTGCAATATTTTGAATCAAAATGGCCCATAATGGCCCCTTTTTTTATTTTCCATAACAACACAAGCACTAAATTATAGCTGTGCAATTATGTAAGCAATGGAAATGCTTTCAGAATGAATCCTTCCTTTTAAATTTTCATTTTGTGTAATTGTTGGAAGGTTTGGAACCATAATAAACAAAATTATTTTACACATTTATCGTTCTAAAGGTCAATTATAAGAGAACTAAAGAAACAACACTATGCAAAATGAAGAAACCAATTTCTGTTGCCATCACCATATGTTTTTCTTATCCCTCACGGTTTTTCCAGTTACTGTGTACATAGCATTCAGTGAAAGCGATTCATTTACCGGGCTGAGGATGGTTTGTGTTTATAGAGCTGTGCTTTGGAGGGGAGGAAGCAACACGCCTCTGTTTGAATTACCTGATTTTTTGCAAGCTCAGTGATAAGAGACAGATGCTGTCCTTTCCTCCCTTTCTCATAAACCCGAATCTCCAGGCGAGCTACAAATACACAGCTGCTGCACACAGCCAGCTTCTCATACCTGATAGGTAGCATGTCGCAGCCTTCTCACCAAAACAAGAGAAAAGCACCAATTCAGGGGCTTGGATTATTTTCTGTGAACAAAAAGCACGTGAAAGAGTTTTATTTGTGCTTCATCCTTGGTCAACTTGAAAGAATAAATGCAGTGCCTCATTTAGATTCCATTTGCCATTGAGCTTATTTAGATTATGGTTTCATCTGTTTAGAGGGAGGAAAAGCAACTGATTCTTGCCACCAAACTCAGTTGTTTGGAGTAAGGTCTGGTATTTCTCAGAGGATTGAAACTTAGAAAATCTGAAACGGCCATTTTCCATTTTGCTCCCTCATTGGGCCCTATTGTGCCTAATCATGGTCACACTTTGGTAAGGATGCTGTGTGAGGGTGCTGATTTCCAGAGCTTTATAGGGTAACGTGTGATTCAAGAGGCTTGTCTGTCCTCCCTTTAAAATGCTTTTAAACATTCTTTGAGTAAATCAGAATAACAGTTTACTGAATCATACAAGCTAAACCTATGAAGTAAAATGTTTCAGAGTCCTTGTCCTATTAGAAGACCTTTTCTTTTTTTTTTTTTTTTTTTCCTTTCCTTGCAATTCTGATTATTCCTGCATGGCCCTTTCTAGGTTGCAAGGGCATTTGCCCACATCTTCTCTGCTGCTGCAAACTACTTTTTAAAGAAAGATGGTCCCATTTTATGCTAGTGAGGGGTGAAGTTCTAGGCATGATGGGATCGTTCCAGGTTTCCCACAAGACTGTGGCCCAAGCTTCGTTGCTCTGGTTTTAGAATCGTGTTGGCTGAGTGAGGGTTCAGGGGTGTTTTCTGCAGGTGCTCACAACAGAGATGACACTGAGACACAGTGATCCCGCTCTGGGCATGATGGCCTCTTTCCTGATCTCGGCCCAGCCTGGTGACACACTTAGCGGGATCTCAGAGTGGTCAGTGAACTTCTGACAGTGCTGTGGCCTTCCAAGTCACCTTCTTAGCAAGACAGCCCCCTGACCATCAGTGATATTTTAAGCAAAAACTCAGTATCACTGGCTTGCTGTCACTTTTGGTTCCAGGAGCATTTTCTGTTTATGCCCAAGGGTGCTCATTTTCCAGAATAGTTTTACTTAAATTCAAACCGAGTGAATCACTTTGAAAAACCTGTCTAGGAAGATGTTCACTTTGAGGGTAGATGCCACAGAGGGCACGAGGGTCGGCCTGGTGGGTGTGTTTATGAAGCCCTGGAGGAAGGTTCACAATCTTGGGCTTTTGTTTCATGTTTCCAGAGATCCCAATTGCAACTGAGGTCTTGGCTTCTGCAAGGAAAGGTGCACTGGGGTGCCGCTGTGCAAATGTGCAGAGCTCTCTGGATTTGCTCTTTGGGGAACATGCAGTTGCTGTCTTTGACTAGCACACGGTTGTCCCAGTGTGTAGGGCGTTATCACAGAGATAGAATCTTCGGGTCATTCCACTTCCGTGCGGATGAGCAGAACAAGCAGGCCTGCAGCTTTCACTGGGCTGGCTGGTCAGATGGTGCCCTCCCTAACCCCACATTAACTCTGCCCTGGTGCTGTCTTTGGCAACTGTGGCGTGGCCCCTGCTTCTCCTGGGTGCTGACTCCCGTGGGTGGCCGAGGAGGGCAGGCCAGCCATCTGTTGCTGTGCCCGCTCTTTTCCATCTTCCTGCCTATGGAAACAGGTTCCGTTGAAGTGACTCTTGGATGGGGTCCAGGGCCTAGGGGAGCCGTGTGATTCAGCTCCTCACTGATCTATTGTCTTCAGTGGCAGTGGCAACTTAGTAAATTTTTCTGAATGCCCCTCACTCACGGATCACTGAGGCAAGATGGATCATTTATAAATTGTGCTTTAGTTTATTAAAAGATTTAGTTCCTAATTCCCATAAACTTATGCTAGAAAACATTTTTTAATTAAATCTCAAAATTCCAGTGGTACAAATGGCTCATTTGACTTAAGTGTGTGCTAAAGATCTTTAAAACCCATAGGCTTCAAGGTTTTAGTTCCTCATCTCAACAGATGGAATTAACACAAACATAACAAAGTTAACATCCTGGTTGTTTGCATTATTAATCTTCACATGCATGGCATTCTGCTACCTTGCTCGCCAGGTTTGCATGAACCCTTTCATTGCAGCATATGTCAACAGAAATGTGCTTCCATCTGCCGCCAGAGAGCCTGATGCCTGATATTCCCAGACAAGGCCCGGCACAATGCGTACCTCTATGAGTAATTACAGGTGTGTGGTGAGGAGACCAGGGCATTAATCAGAGGCTTAATTATGAAAAAGGTGGATCTTTTGTTCCACTCCCAGAGCATGAGTTTACCACACACTTTCTAAGCTGCAGCACCCATCTGCTTGGCCCCTTAGAGTGTTTGCCTTGGCTGATATGGGCCCTAAAGTGTATGTCAGGACATGATTAAAGCCGGTTTAAACATTGACTAGGAAGGAGCGTGGTTCAGGTTGACTTCCCTTTCTTTCTTCTTTTTATCTGTCTATCTATCTGTTTATTTTGAGTATAGGAAAAAGTCTGCTGAAATGCCAAAACTTTACATTAGGATTTGCTGAACTGCCATATGTGAGTTCTGATAAATTAAACAGGATGCACTTGTTTTAAGGATGTGGCTTATGAAAATTCAGTGAGTGTACTATAGGAGGCAAAATGTTTCGTGAATGCATAGAAATTTTGTTTTAGGAAGGCAAGTTGTTAAATGAGATTATTTTTGGTGTGAAGGATTTGAGTTCATGTATTAGAATGTAACATGTTGCCACCACTTTGCTCTAGTTTAACACAATTAAATCAGGTTTTATTTAATGTCTCCCTCCCATTCCCTATAAGATGGTACAGTAACTACTGAGTAACTCACCTCCTGGTACCCTGTCCCTGAAAAATGTCTATCTTCCAAATCTTTGTAGAATATAACACAATGGTCCTATGCACACACAAACTACTTTGGAATGTTGTCCTAAAACTTCTCTTCACTTACAGGATATCTTGAATACAATCATAAGACACTGCCCACCCCGCTTCTTCTCCCTGGGTCTTCCTGGCTTCTCCATGCTGGTGGGGGACTTCATCACAGCCGCCGCCAGGGTCCTTGGCACAGACATGTTGGCGGTGAGTGTGACAATGCTCAGATCTGAGCTCCCAGGAGGCCTCGCAATCGCTGACAAGGTTCAGATTTCTCCACTCTTTAACAGGTGTCGACTCATTAGTGCAATGTGAAACTGGGCTTTCAGGGTAGATACCCTGGCAGCTGACGTGTGAAATTGTAGGATAAGATGACACACTGGTATTGGAAAGGCGTTTCATCAAAAGGCCAAAGTGTGAGAAATCATATCCTCACTAATATCTCAGCACATTTACACCGTCAGAGACAGGCCTTGTCTGTTAGAATCTCATTAGCATTTTCTAGTAAATACATAAACTTCTGAAGTAAAGAGAATTTTAAGTGTACATTAGTAGTTAGGCACATTTTAAAAATTAAGTATTGGTTACTCTGTCTTATAGAAAATATTAATTAATTTACTTGTTTATTTTTGTAGTGCTGGGGATCAAACCCAGAGCCTCAGCACGCTAAATATATGCTGTACCACTAAGTTGCACCCTCACCCCAATCTTTTCTTAAAAGGTTAGAACACTAAAATTTTAACCAGAAATGAATATGTTCTTATAAATATATTCTTGCTATTATTTCAGTGCAGTTGCTGGATTGCACATGCACTAGGCTGAAATATGAATAAACATATTCTTACAAACTTAATTTATAAAAGTTCTTATAAATGTACAAGAAAACACTAGCAAAATTCATGATGAAAAATTAGAAGCAAATGGGCTAAATGTACATTAAGGGTTACAAAAGGAATTTATTTTGCATTTACTGCTATTATTTCACAACGCCTTAATGCATTTTGAAAGAAATACTTTTCTACATTTAAATTTAAAAGACCTTCCTTCCCACATATACTCTGGAGAGCAGTTATCTATTCAGTCATTTTTCTCCTTCAAATGATATAAATAAAATGAGCTTTTTTGTTTGCCAGAAATTTATATTGAAGTCACTGAGAAGCCAGCATCCTAAATTTTGTTCGATTCATGTTTATGTTTTCTCTCCACTTACTTTTTTTCAGTGCAAGGTAAATTCAAACTCCAATCTTTAGGTTGTAAATATTTTTAATATTCTGTGTACATAATATTTCATGATGATCTTTTTGTGCATTATTATAGGCAAGAGAAGGGAAAAAAGACAAGAATGAGGGAAAAAATAGAGAAGAAAAATGCTGAATTTGGTGACTTAATATTTTATTATGAATATTATTTCTGAAAAAGATTTTAGGAAAATTAAATCCCAAAGAACAAATTTATTTTTAACCACTTAAATCAACATTGAAAAAACTTGCAAGATCTAGGCAGGAAAATCATACTTCTTTACTGAAAAGTACTTTTACTATTTGATAGAAGAATTTTCTATAAAAATACTAGAATGAGATATATGATTTACTTTCCCTATTTTCTGTGCCGTTGTATCTTTTAGCTGGTTGAGCTATAAAATTAGCCTGCCACACATACAGTAGGCTGAAAGGTATGTGAAAAAAAAAATACTTACTATCACTAGTCATCAGGGAAATGCACAGTTATCACAACTGTTGGAATGACTGACATCAAAAGAACAAAGAAACAAGCTTTGAGGATGTGGGAATGTAAATTGGTGCAGTCTTTCTGAAAACTAATAGGAATGTTTGTCTTATGAGCTGCTTTTTTATTGTTGGAACCAAATAACTTGACACCCACAACATAAAAGAAGAGAGGCTTATTTTGGCTCACAGTTTTGGTCCATGGTTATATCTAAATCAGAACAAGATTCCTCGAAAAAATTAAAAGTAGAACTATCATATGTTCCAGCAATTGCACTTCTGAATACATAACCTAAGGAAATGAAACCAGGGTGTCAAAGAAATATCTGCATTCTCCTGTTCTTTGTAATGTGATTCCGAATGGCTATCTTGTGGACACAACTTCAGTGCGCATCTTCAGAAACACTCACCATGGTCCACTGTGCACCAGGACCTGAGTCTGACAGTGTCTCTCCCCTCAAAGCGGCAAATTAAAAAACTTAATACTTCAAATAAGTTTCTATCTAGCTCTCCTACCCAACCCTGCATGCTCTGCTTGCATCTCTCTGCTAAGGAGGGAAGTTCTCTCATTTCACACTACAGGCCCAGTGTGAGCCTGGACTTAGATAGTCTCAGTTCAAGTTTAGGGTCAAATTTACTGGTTAGAAGACTTTGACAAACTACTCAACTTCTCTGAGCCTCCGTTTTCTTAAGGAAAATGCAAGGGATAATAGTATTGACTTCACTAGTTGTTGAGGAGGATCTGGAAGGAATGCTTGTGCAGCATTTGGAAACAGTGTCTGGCACAGAGCGAGGTCTCCTCAAGTCTGAGCTGTAATTGTCATTGTTAAATAGTAGGTTAGATGGACAGATGGACAGCAGCTGGATGGCACGCCTTTCAAATACTGTGCCTGCCCTCATTCTTGGCTACTTGCAGCTGCAAGACTGAACTGAAACCTAGTAATCTGATGCCTCCTTTAATATTTACCTAATTTCCATAATGAACAAATAAGGAATTAGTATCCTTATTTGTAACTTAGTAGCTCATAGTATTTTTTTTTTTTTTTTTTTTGCAAAGTTGTTCCTTGTGAGACACCGGAAATTTGGTAGATGGTGTCTTCTCTACGATAGCTTCCTCCAAACCGATTCCTTAAGAAGTTTCCTTCATTGTTCTTCACAGCAAAAGCTGGTGTTATTTTCTCTGTTTTCTTTCTTTCTTTTTTCTTTTTGAGACAGGGTCTCTCTCTGCAGTTCAGGTTGGCCTTGGGCTCACTTTGTAGCCCGGGCTGGTCTCAAACTCTCAATGATTCTCCTACCTCAGCCTCTCAAATGCTGGGATTACAGGTGTGAGCTACCACGCCCAGTTACTCTGCTTTCTTAAGAACACTAACAGTGAAACAGTGTACACCAGTCCAGTACTCTGCCTTTCACATTTTGAATGAACCTGCACACCAGTTTTCACTGCGTTTGTTTACATCTATGTGTAGTAATATTTTCCATTCCTTGGAAATTAGCTTTTAAAATATTTGTCAGGAAAATAAGCTGGTATATAGTATATTTCCAATCACGATAAAGTAATTACCCAGATTCCTTCTTAGAACCATGAAGAAGTAAACTGTCCTTGCTTCCAGAATGCAAGCTGTGTGCTTTTCACTCCTTGTGTGCAGGCCCCTCGTTCTGAGGCACTCACCATCCTCGGATCCCTCGTCTGCTTCCCAAATATCTACCAGGAGATCCCATTACTGCAATCCGTGCCAGAAATAAATGAGGTCGTCACTGGCACTGAAGATATCAAGGTGTGTAATGCGCTTGACCACAGCTCCAGCTTAGCATTTTACAGTTCCAGCTTTAGCTTCCATTTTTATACATTGATCTGCTCATCCCTGAAAGTTTGCTGCATCTTTTGAGTGTTTCGCTATTGTTTTCAGAAGTCTTTTGGAGGGACTGTAAACATGTCCAGAGCGGCCTGCAGTTAGGCCCGTCACTTCACTCCTTGGTGTTTTTATTAGGTCTATTGTCCTAGGGATCCAAATCATGTAATGAGTTACCCTTTGTAATAATTTCAGTAACTTAGTTACTCTGCATTAATGCATCAAATGAATTTATGAGAAATAATCAAAACTAAGTACACAATTTTGTTGGCCTGATTAAATACTACTAATAATTTGAAATTCCAAATTATTTCTTGGAGAATAAAAGTACTTATTCTCTCCTCAACTGACTTTTGAGGCAAGCAAAATAAATTCCAGCATCAATCAATCGAATCATGATACATAACTCCAACACATAATTCAATGTACATGCATAATCCAATTAGCATAAAAGTGAAAGGAGAGTTTCCTCTCTGGAGGTCTGGCTGCTTTCACAGCTAACCCAGAAACACTCCTGCTTCTGCCTCAGCCCCACTCCACAGAGCTCCCGAGCTCCCTTGGCCTTCAATAGCTTCGGGCTGCATGAAATGTGGTCAGCCATGTGGAAAACCAACTGTGACACAAAAACAAAGTTTTTATTTCACCTAATTTTGTGTTTTTAGCATTACCTCATAAATATTTTACTGAAGAATGCCACAGAGGAACCAAATGAATGTGCAAGGTAAATGTTGGACAAGAGGTAAACTCTTTCAGAATTTTTATACATTTTTGTGTATAGACAGTTAATGTTTAAAGAAAACACTTTTTCCTTCACCTAACTTTTATACACAGTAAAGTATACATACAGTAAGAATTCTGTCATAAAAATGCTTTGCTCATTTGCATTATCTATTTATTTTTGTTTTTTTCTGAGACAGGGTCTCACTGTGTAGTTCAGACTGGCCTTGAACTCATGGCCGTCTTCCTGCCTCAGCCTCCCAGATGCTGGGATTACAGGTGTACACTTTCATGCCAGGCTACTTGATTATTTAAAAAGCCAAGATTATTAATTGAAGAGACTGAGGTCCAGAAGCTTTTGAATTATATATAGTATGCTATCTTTCATGTAAGAAAAAAGCAAGCTAACAATAGGGACATACATTCCCTGATGCTTCAGAAAGGAAAATGGAAGGGTTACCATAGAGTGGTGATCCCAGCTGGTGGTGACTCTGTGCGTAGAAGAGCCTGGCACACCACAACTGCTTCTGCCAGGCCTGCAGGTTGCTGCAGTCTCCCAGTGAGACTGTCATTTCTCTGTTCATGTGTCTCTCTTCCTGGCTGTAGCTAGGGCTGGGAACACTGCAAGGCATCATAGGAGCCAGTCCTCACTTCTGGAGAGCTGTGCCCTGCTGCTCCCGCCCCACTCCCAGCAACCTCTTAACTCAGTGATCTTAAGCTTCTTTCAGCTGTGCACATCACTGTCTTCCTCAGTTATCTGTGGAGGGTGGCTTAGCCCAGGTTTCCTTCTTGCTGTTGCAGAAGCCATCTGCTCCTTACCAGCCTGCTAGTGGTGGACCATACTCGGCGGATGTGGGGCCAGGGCTGGCAGGGCTCATCCTTGCTCAAGGAAGTTAGGTTCCTGTTCATGGCCTGTCCTGCCTTCCCCATCCTGCTCCAGGTTACAGTCTCACAAACTGAGCAGATGACTTTTATTTTCTGCCATCAGGGATAGTTTATGCAAAATTACTTAATATTCTTATGTCTTCATAGACCTTGGTGCTGTCTTTGGGAGAAGTTTATCCACTGATGTCTGCCATGGTCCTGGGAAACTGTGATCCCCACCTCTGTCCCTCTCTCCACCTCCCTCCCTCCCTCTGGCCCTCTTCCTGTTTCCCCTACCCCTGGTAATTTTGATAAACATTTTCTAGAAATTTTCCCATTTTATCTGAATTTGAAGTACACTTCAAATAGTATACTATTTTTATTTCTTTGACTTCTATAGTTTCATCCACTTTCTAAATCTATGACACTTTTTGTGTGTTCTCTGATTTTTTAAAAACTACTCTTGCCAAAATTTTGACAATTTTACTGGTTTTTTTCAAAATTAGAGTGGGATGTGTGAGGCCCTGGGTCCAGTCCCTGGCACCTGCCACGCAAAGAAGATTTTTGTCTTACATTTGTGTTCAGCCTTTCTATTCTATGTGTTTTTATTTCCTACTTTCTGCCCTTTTTATTCTACTATCTTATTTTTATTGTTACTCCTATTCTTAGTACTTAGTATATTAATATTTAGCCTCTCTTTTACTAATATAAACATTTAAGACTTTATTTCTAGGTGCAACTTTATCTGAATTTAAGGAATTTTAATGTGTAGTATTTTCTCTTCGAACTTTTTAAAGACTTTCTACTAAGATTAAATCATGAGTTTTTTAATATATTTCTGTTTTCAAATATATGACTATTTCTGCATATCTTTTTGTTACTGATGTCTTAATTAATTACATTGTGGATCAAATTGTTGTCTAATAATTGTATGTGAAATTGTTGACATTTTCTTTGAAGCCCAGTATTTATCTAGGCAGTCATTGTAGCTGCTCTGTGTAGTTTTAAAAACATGTAGATGTATACAGTGTTCTTTAATTGTTGGGCTTACTGTTTTAGATGAGTCCATTATATTAAATTCTTTAAATCAGGTACTTTAATTATCCTGTATCTTTTGTATCTTTTCTGATTTTTTTAAACTTAATCATTCACTGAGTAGAATTTTGTTAAAATCTCCCCTTATGATGTATTTCATCTATTTCTCCTTTTATTTCCATCAAATTTTATAGTACATATAGTTTGAGGTAATGTTATCAGTATGTAAGTTTAGAATTGTCCTATCTATGTGACTCTTGTATTTTATGTTTATGCAGTGACTCTGTATTTGTAAGGATGACATTTTTATTGTAGAGACCACTTTTTCTGATACTAGTTTAGCTATTTCATAATATTATCCATACTTTATAAATACTAATCATTATTAGTGTTCCTATTTGTTCTGAAACTGGACTATTGAGAGTACCTTTTCTCTGAAGAAGACATCCTGTTAATTAGCTATAATTTACATTGCTTTGAATAAACAGATGTAAAAGTTAAATTTGAAAATACTAAATAAACGTATTGTCTCATGAGAGTTTCCTTACTCTTCCTTTTTTTAAAAAAGGTGCATTGCCATTTGTGCCCTGGGGGTGTGGATCTGTGAGGAGCTTGCACAGCACACCTGCCACCCTCAGGTGAAGGAGGCCATCAACGTGATTGGTGTGACACTAAAGGTATCGACACTTACAATTATGTACCATCCAGTTTCAGTTGGGATTAGCCCCACTTTGTGTCCCCTAAGTTGCAGAGAGGAAGTGACCCAAACTTTTTGCTGAGAGCCCCAGCAAGTGTGCTGTGAGGGCCTAGCAGAGGCCACTGTGGCTGCCTCCCCCGGCAACCATGAGTACGAACAGTGTCCCCACATCAAGTCCAGGGGCCAGAAGGGGTTTCCTGTGGAGGCTAGGCAGCTCCCATGGCAAAGTGGACATCTGCCACCTATTGGCAGGGGTGACAAGAAAGTGGAACTTCAAGCCCTGGCCTCTTCAGCAGGCCTGGGAGAAGTCGTGCCCTAGCCAAGCCCAGGGCATTTTCGAGATACTTGTTCTTGTGTTCGTATTGGGAGGTGAAGCTGCTATGGGATACTTCTACAAGGCCAGAATAAGATCCAAATGCTTTGTGGATCTCTATCACAGCTCTACAAGGTAGACATCACAACCCCAGTGCTTCACTGCAGGAAATCGGTGTCTGGAGAAATTACGTCTCAAGTCTAAGGCACACAGCACAGATCAGTTGACAGTGAAGCCCTGATTGAGCTTCTAATTGTGCAGTTTGGCTGTCTCCTAAGGCAGAGTCCCACTATCCTTTCCTGGCTCCTCTTAGAACAGCCATAATGGTCAGCATTACCCTGCCTTCCACTCCAGAACTGGGAAGTACCTGCTTCGGCCAGACAGTATGCAAAAGACTCAGAGGAGGTGAGCATGTGCATCTCACCTGTGGAGGGAGGTAGGTGCGAGAGAGTGGTGTAGCTCAGTCAGAGCCATGGGATCACCCTGCCATGTGAGCTACAAGCCCTGACCCTTAGCCCCCATGGTTTTACAGCCCTTCCTGCCCATCTCTGCTGCTTCCTTTAAGCTGCTATGAGGGCAACAGTGGTGACAGCTGAAGCTGGGTCATCGTTATCAGGCCAGCAACACAGCATTATCCAGGCACGATGCCCTGCCCATCCTAGCCTGGTAGTGGACCCTCTGTGTTTCCAGGGTGTCTTGGCCCCAGGGTACCTGCTGTACCCACCTCACCTTGCTCTTCATCTGGCTGGGTCAGTTACATCATTGGAGCTGGAAAGGTGCTTGCTGCTACTCCCCAGGCGGGGAGGGGAAAAATGATCCTAATGGTGCCACCCTGGTGCTCCTTCCCTTGGACTGAGCAGAGTGCTGGCCCAACCTCAGCCAAGACCTCTAGGTTGGAGGGGCACTGCCTTTTGCACCTCATAGGTGAGGCAGTTTAGCTGATTGGAGACTGAGGGCACAGAGAAATCCTCTTGCAGAGGGCTGGGGGAAGTCAGGTTATGCACTGTGTCAGAGTAGGTCCCAATTTGTTTCTTAGTCTGTTTCCTGGATTCTTAAGAGCTGCTTTTAAATGTTATTTTAATTAAATTGCTAGCAAGTTTAGTGTAAGGGAATAGAAGAAAGGCAGAAATTGGTGACAGAGCTGTGGAATAAAATAATTGAAGAATAGATATATTTTCTTCTTTGCATTTCTGTGCATTTTCAAAAAAGCCTACAATTTTTTATGATTCTGAGGTTCAAGAGAAAATGCAGCCCTGCCTGCGTGCCCGCTGCACCCTTCCTAGAGTGCAGCAGGAGTCCAGGCACCCAGGACCAGGAGGCAGAGAGGCTCCAGGAAGAATGGGGAGAAGTGGTCACTCTGAGGGGAGGGGCTTCAGGTGTGTGTGGCCCTGCCAGAAGGAAGGGTGACAGGGAGGCACTGTGGCCTCATCCCCACTACTGTGAGCGGGGCACCAGGGTGCTATGGACTTCTGTGCAGGCTCCTGCCGTCCTGAACAAAGAACTGGACGGAAAATGGAGCAGCAGGGTTTCACATGTATTACAGGAAAGGGAAAAGTGCTCCGCAGAGTGAGTGCAAAAGTAAAGCAGGAAAGGGATACCTCTACAGAGGACAGAGAGGGCCACTGAGGAAGAGAGGGAGGGAAAGGGAGGAGTGAGGAGGGAGAGAGGGAGAGCGAGAAAGCAAGCAAGCAGTGACCACTGCCATTTCTGTCCACCCTGGTATCAGATGTAGGTCATCCTGCTGTGTCAGAAACTTGCTTGATCTTACACTGAAAGAACTGAAGATCACACAGCCAATTGGTATCAAGCGCAGGGCTTAGCAGCTATACTGCACGTTTCCATTGACAGGTCACACCCGCTTGCCCAGCCACTTTGCCACACCCTGACCACCTTCCCCATGTCCATCTGTGCCCCAGAGCTAGGAGCATAGAAGCGCTCTGCAGCCCCAGCACCTGGCTTAGTACTGTGTCCTTCAAAACTCCTCACCCTCTGGGTGGCCTGGGTATGATTCGGGTGCCCGGAGAGGCTCGCTCCCTGCAGCCCCAGCAGTGAGTGGCCCAAGGACCCTACTCACCACATGGCACTATGCTCTCAAACACATAGCCTCCTGCCTTTGTAGAGGAGCTGTCCTTGGCCTGCTTGCTGCTCCCTCAGGGCACTGGCTGTTCCTCCTTATACACTCTGATTTTCCCAGTCACCCATCTACCCCTTCTGGGAGTGGTCTCAGCTGTCCCTTAAAACTGCTTGGAGGGAGTTATCCTTGCACTCTGTGGACTAGGGTGCTGGGCAGAGCACACAGGTCCCTGCTGCCCTATGACACTGCCAGGTCAGGTGGGGCAGCTGCCTGCCCTGTCTGTTCTGTGCCTTTAACCCAGGCTGGTGCTATGTCAGTCCCCAGTGTGTGCAAGAAGGAATAGCTGCTTCCCCACCTGGCTCCATGTGGCAGGACTGCACCCTCCTCTGCATTCCTTTGGGCCTAGAACCTCCTGCCCCTTCTCTGCCCACACTACCAAAAAAGTAAAAAAATATTTTAAAGAGATGCTGCATAGATGTTGTTACCTTATAGAAGTGACATTTTGTGCCAGGATATGACCCAGAGATAAGGATTCATCCTGCCGGTTTTGTCACTGGTGCTAGATGCTGAGTTTTTGGGAGTGTCCTCTGCTGCATAGGTATCTGCCTGCCTTGGCTTGAGGTGAGGCTATTCCAGACCAGTGATGGGTTCATCCATGAGTCTTTTCTCTAATGAGGGGCAGATAGCTGTGCAGCTCCCAGGTTCTGGCAGCAAGAGAATCCTGAGGTACACTCATTACTATCACATGCCCTGGCATGGTCACCCAAGACCTTTGACACCCATCCTACAGGACATCCTGGTAGTACCCTAGGACATGTGCCGGGAGAAGGAGACGTACTCAGGTCATCCAGTATATGGGACCTGTGACTCATGTCGTCGTGGCCTGTAAAGTTCCCCATTTTCCTAGTGTGTTCTACAGGGAGGTCCACCAGTTTCATTACTGATACAGATCCAGTGATCAATCCCCGTTTCTCCATGTGTAAAATCAGGATATTGTCTACCTTACAGAGCTGTCAGTAGAGATTTACTGGTAGATCAAATTCCTGTAAAAGTTCAGCACACGGGAGTCAATCAACAGTGGACTGCATTTTGAAATCATAGTTTGAAAATTCCGATTTAAGTGAGCTGAATAAAGAATTCGAAATTAAGGTCTTAATTTCCATGACAAATAGCTGTTAACCGGCAGCTGCTTGTTTCAGTACAATGTTGTGGAAATCAACAAGGCTAGGATAGATAGGAGGCGGTCACAGCATGCTGGTAACTCCTCTGTTAAACAGACACAGTTTTCATCCGTTTTATGTAAAATGTATGTCCTGTAATTGGTATGGAACTGGAAAGGGGTAGCCCTTTGTTTTTTTTTTTTTTTCCCTGGGAATAATGCACATTAGGTTACATACTCACTTTGAGACTTTGTTTCCTTTTGTAGTTTCCTAACAAAATCGTGGCTCAGGTAGCATGTGATGTTCTTCAGTTGCTGGTTTCCTACTGGGAAAAACTTCAGATGTTTGAAACCTCCCTGCCTCGGAAAATGGCAGAAGTAAGTCCTTTTCCTGTAATGCTGCCATGTGCACTCCTTCTCAGCATTCTTGGTGTCCAGTTAAGTGCAACCCCCAGATGATTGCAAGCAAGAAGTGTACATGACAATGAGTCCCATCATGGGCTCCTCTCAGCTGTAATTCTAGGCACTGTGCAGAGAAGCCAGTGTGTTCCAGGGCAGGGGCTGATACCCAGGCATTTGAAAGGCGGAGTGACCACAACAAAGAATCCTTTTGTAGATTGGGTTTCATTCGCCAAGAGTAATTTGGGTGGTGCCAGCAAGGAGAAGGCAGCTGGTTACGATGCCTCCGTGTGAGGCCGAGGGCGACGGCTGCTGTGAAAGCAGGCGTCTTCCCAGACTGAAGCCCTGGCCCACACTGCTGTAGCAAGGTCACCGACTGCAAGGACTGCCATGTCACCTGGGTAGGTGGAGAAAGAGTGAAATCATCTTACCCACAGCACCCTAGAGTTCAGTCCACCCAGGGGCTTTGCTGTGGCTCAAGCAGGCCCCCTTACCCATAGTGCCTGGTTGTCAGGTGCATCCCTTCCTGCCAGTCCGTGTAGCTGCACTTTTAAACACATGTCTGTCCTTTGCACAGTCACTGGTGATTCTGAGGAAATTTGATTTGTCCCCCTAAGCGATCACAGAGAGAGAAAAGAAATGATGTTGATTTATTTCCTCTCAGGCCTACACAAAGTTCACTGGGATGATTACTTTGTTCCCTCAAAACCCATCAAGAATCATAGGTGTTTTTTTTTTTTTTTTTTTTTTACCTTAAGTGACCTAGATTGCAATAGAACATGGACATGGGGATATAAAATGCCATGGAATGTGAAGGTGGTTTGGGTCACTGCGACAGGAAGCCTTTTGAGACTGAGAGGGTGCTACTGCACAGTCGGCAGGCAGCACCTTCAAGTGCATAAGGTGAGACCACAGCAGCATCATGAGCTTTTTCAAAGCGTCTTTGGACAACACCAGAAAGTGAGGGGATCCATAGTGAAACGTGGCTGGAAAGAAACCTTCCATTTCTGGGTGCGCTGAGCTTCCCAGCAGCAGAGCAGGCAGAGGCCAGACATGGTCCCAGTGCCTTCTGGTTTTCAAGGCCACATATACAGCTGTCCCACAGCTGTCACCTCCCTCCAAGGAACTGGCACCAGGCTGGGGTTAGCTGCAAGGCCACTCTGGGACTCTTAGCACGTGGCTTCCAAACTAGTGGTCTGTTTGATTGGTGACTTGTCTTTTGTGCAGATCCTTGTGGCCACAATCTCTTTTCTCTTACCAAGTGCAGAGTACTCCACTGTGGAAGCAGACAAGAAGGTAGGTGGCACATTATTAACTTTTCCCTAAAGTTTTTTTTTAAATGTAAGGCAGAGTGGTAAATGTTACTGCAAGTATTTCCTGTAAGAATACTATTTACTTATTTACTTACCTATCTCCCGGGCCTTTGTATGTCTCCTGAGTGAATAACCACTGTGTTCAGGGAAATCCTCCTTAGTGTCCCGTGGACTGCAGTGTAAGGACCAGTGTGTTTCTCCCTCCAGTTTATTGTGTCCTTGCTCCTCTGCCTGCTGGACTGGTGCATGGCGCTGCCAGTGAGTACCCTCCTGCACCCAGTGTCTACCGCGGTCCTGGATGAGCAGCACCTGACTCGAGCACCCTTACTGGATTATATCTACAGGGTGAGTCTCCCCTCAGGCCTCAGTGCAGGCCAGGGACTTGTGTGTCAAAAATCTACCAAAGCATGTTCTGTGCATTTACTTGCTTATCTGGGCCTTTTCAGAAAGGACTTGGGGTGGGTTAAGCATCTTTTAAAAATGATAACTTAAGCAATAAACACAGAATAGATACTGCTATAGAAAGACAGTGGTTACCCAGTTAAAAGATGTTGCATTCTTATATGACTGTTTCTAGAATATTCAAACTACTGCTGTTTGGTCAGAATACCCCAATTTTTATGGAACATGGGTTGTTTCTACTTGATTTTTAAAAAGAACTATATATATTATAGGAATATCCAGAGGATTAGCTTGACAAATCTATTTATAAAAGGAAGAAAAAACTATAATGGTTCCAGTAATCCCTTTGTCTTAAATAAATTTTTAAAAAATAGAGGACACTCACCTTGTGAAAAATAAGAATACTTCAAAAATCTATTATTAAATTTATTTTTATTGAACTATACTCTAAAAATTGTGGGATTATGAGTTACAATAATTTAAACTCATGAGCTGTCCTGGAGTACCCCGGTGGAATCTATTCATCGTGTTCCTTTGTCCCTCCACTGGGAGTGGCTTCCCCCATGCCACCCATCTCCCTGCTCAGCCCTCCCTCCTGGTGTCACCGTGGGAGGACGGGGGAGGGCTTGGGTGTGTGCAGTCATACACCCTGGCGACATGAGCAGTTTTTCACTTTTGCTTTGAGAATATATTTATTGCCGTTGATGTGAAAGAAGGAAAATGAGCCTGCTCATAGCAGCAAGCTATTTAAGCAGGGAAGGGACTCAGTGTTTGGAAGCACCCTGCACAGGGGCCCCAGTACCCAGTGCCATGGTATGGGGATGGGAGGTGGCAGCACCCATGGTGCCTGTCCCATGTCCTTCCGCAGGTCCTACACTGTTGTGTCTGTGGCTCGAGCACATACACCCAGCAAAGTCACTACGCGCTGACCCTGGCCGACTTGTCCTCTGTGGATTATGACCCCTTCCTGCCCCTGGCCAGCGTGAGGAGCTCTGAGCCAGTCCCGTGCCATTCCTCAGCAGACCTGGGCAACCTGCTGACTGTAGAAGAGGGTGAGTATAATCCTAGACAAACCCCTTGTGGTCCAGAAGGGGAAAGAGTTTAATCTTTTCTTGTTTTATTGGTTGATTTTTGGTACCGGAAATTGAACTCATGACCTCATGCTTCCTGAAGTGATAAGCAGACATCTACCCACATGGCTGCTGCTAGACTAGCTCACCACTTCCTGTGACTGATCACTGGAAAATTGCAAAGGACTAGTCAGTTAATGAAACAGGAAAAGCCTAAAAATAGGCACTTAAATTTTGGTACTGTTTTCTTTTCAAAGAATAGTATTTTTTGACTTAAATATTTATTCTCCAAGAAAACCTCAGGATCTTGTGTAGGCATTCCCAAAAGCATTCAGTAGTACTCAAAGTAATCACTTAAACTTCTCTGACAACAGAGTTTTGAAATGCGCTGCCAAGTTATCCAAGTTAAAAAGCCAGAAATTTGAAAGAGTCTTGGCGTACACAGTCTTGCCAGTTAGCTATATCTTGTTATGAGTGAAGGAGTAAAGAAAGGTGAAGACTTTTAGGTGAAATAAAATGTGCTTCTATTTTTCACTCTGTGTCATTGTTCAAACTATTTCTAATCAGGTAGTATTTCTGATAAGCAGTATTTTAATAACTCTGTCTTAGATCATTGCCTATGTACTACTTTCAAATAAAGTTACAGTGAGAGACAGCTCATCAGTGGCAACATGCGCCCTGTGCTGAGACAGTTAATCCAAACTCCTTATGGTTGAAAGGAAGAAGGGACTCTAAAACACCACAAGGAAAGGAGGACCTAAGATCCTACTTTTACATTCCAACTGTAAATTTACAAAAAATCCAGAAATTTAGAATCTATTTTGTAATAGTTTGTGCAAGTCACTTTTTATTAACAGCCTAGATTTTCCTCTTTGTTCTCAGGGAACCTATAGCAAGGGATTTAACTGAAATGTGTCAAGGAAGAGTGATTATTATTTCAAAACTATTCCTTTCTCTTACTTTTCAATGTTACAGCTTTTTATTAGACGTATCAATGTGTTGTGATTTATGGTCTATTAATATGACTCTAGGTTAATTTCCTATTACAGAATTCAGACACATTTGTTAAAAACACACATTTAGCTTTGCCTCAAATTGCAAGCACAACCCTTGTGAGTAAAAGTGGTGGGAAAAGTGATTTTCTAGTTGTTATTTTCTGCCTTGCCCTACATAGGCCTTTGTCACTAGAACTTTGTGCAGCCCTGCCCTGCCTTCCTACAAACTCCCAGCAGCTTCCCACATCCCCTTTGGGGCAAGCACCGAATTGAACATTGACTGCCATAACTGTGTGGAATCATGCACATTTCTCCAAGGGCTGGGAGGAAGCATCTAAGTTCTGAGCTGGATGTAGGTGACCTCCTCTGCTTCTGAACATCGCATCTTTGATGTGAAGTCATCTAGTATTGAATGCAGTTTCATGTTTATTAAAAGAGTAAAAACAGCTGAATTCTAAGACAACTCAGAATAATCTTATTCTCCATGGTCTTTACCCAGAATTTCTTAGATTTAGGATTTTACTGTTTCTTTCTAGGACTTGTACATCATAAAATTGTGTCTTATAAATAAGTTGTATTTTTAATGCCTAAGGGGAAATGTGTTTGGTGTGAAAAAAATATATTATGGTTTCTTATGTTTTAATATTTGATTTTTCATATTTTGAATTAAAAAGCTAAGTATTCTTAAAACTTTAAGTTAAATATCTAGTTTTTGGTTAAAATTAATAATTTTATTTTCACTTGTTTTTACATTAATGCATGAGGCATGTTATAAATTTGGCCAGCTGATGTTTTCCTAACTGCTTGGAAGAGGTCATTTCAGTCTACATTCATAGGTTTCATTTATCTGCTTCTCCTTTATGCCTTATTTTACAAGACCTTCTTGTGCATACAGTTGTTGATGTCTTTGTATGCATTTTAAGTATTAAAAATTTCATAGATCAGTTGCTCTTGAGCATTTAATCAACTACAAATTTAGTTTAGCCCTTCTAACTATCTCTATGATTTATCAATATGACAGATTCTCTTTAATATTTAAAATGCCCTAGCAACAGAGCATAAATTATCGTGATTATTAAGCAAATTGCATCCAATCTATTTCAGCAGCCCCAAAGTGTGACTGATTCCCGTGGGAGGTATATCCTAGCCCTTGGACAGGAACAAGGCTACTGTTCCCTGACCCCCAAGTGAGGACTGTGACCTCACCAGGTCTGCCAGCTCCCAACTCTTCAAGTCAGTACTTCCTATGTCTACAGATTTTTAAATATCTCTTTCAAATGAGATCTTCAAGTTTGCAGTCCATTTAAATTAAACTTTCAAATTCAAATGGATTAGTATCAAAAAAGAAAATAGATGAAAAGAATTCTCAGACTGAAAACAAAAAAAAGCATTCTGAAATTGAGTCCTGTGCTACTTCTGTGCCCACAGAGAGGAGGAGGAGGAGCCTGGAGCTGATCCCACTCACTGCCCGCATGGTGATGGCCCACCTGGTCAACCACTTAGGCCACTATCCACTGGCTGGCGGCCCGGCCATGCTGCACAGCCTGGTCAGTGAGAACCATGACAACGCCCACGCCGAGGGTGCCGAGTTGTCCCCCGAGGTGTTCCGGAGCCCGAACCTGCAGCTCTTCGTGTTTAATGATAGCACCCTCATCTCCTGCCTGCAGATGCCTTCAGAGGGGATGAGTGGCAGGTCCCCAGGGGGCACTGTCTCAGACATGCGTGTCATTGTGCGAGATGTCTCTGGGAAGTACTCCTGGGATGGAAAGGTGCTTTATGGACCCCTGGAGGGCTGCCCTGTCCCCGGGAGTCACAGTCCCAGCTTTCACATTCCTGGCTGCCCGCCTCGGAAAGACCTTCCTCAGGCTGAGGAGGGGGATGATGCGCTGGATGAGCTGCTTGAGAACATTGGCCACACAAGCCCCGAGTGCCTCCTACCATCCCAGCTGAAGCTCAGTGAGCCTTCCCCACCCCCGTGTGGAATGAGCAGTGAGCAGGAAAAGGAAATCATTGAGGCGATCCTGCGCCAGAGCGCACAAGAGGAGGAACATGTCCAGAAGTGTACGTCGGCCTCCACCTTAAGGGTCACCAGCCAAGGGCAGCCCTGCCCGGTGGAGCCCCGAGGGCCCTTCTATTTCTGCAGGCTGCTGCTCGATGACTTGGGAATGAACTCTTGGGACAGAAGGTAACAGTGCATACTGGTCCTTCAGTTATTTCCTCCTTTTCTTTTTTCCACATGATTGTTGTCTACACACTAGAAATGGAGATTTTTCTCTGTCTATTTCAATGTTTACAAATTATTCCATCTGCTGAATTGAAACTAGAAGTGAAGCTAATTGTGCTGTCCTGATGCAGATTGATTTGTAGAACCTACTGGATATTTCAAAGAGTATCAAGCATTTCCTGTGCATGCATTTTACCTACTTACTTCTCTGTCTGTTATTATTTTGACTTTTATGCAAGATGCTAAAGGACTACAGAGTGAATTAGCCACAATTGAATCTGAGGTCTGATGAGGGGGTTAGACATTACCCATCTCTGATAACGGGCAGGTGTTCAGGAATTCAGCTTCATCCATTAGGAAGGCCAGGGAGCGAAGAAGACCTGGCGGAGGAGGACCTGATAGGGGAGCAGAAGGAACAGGATACTGCAGCAAAACTAACAGAGGAACTGGAGACACAAACACATGCACACAGGCATACATTCATTGGCTACAGAGCCATCCAGAGCCCTTGATCGTGGTGGGCTATAGTGGAGCCCTGATGCGTTGCAGCTGTAGGATAGCAAATCTCCTGTGGAAGGTTTCTGTTACACTGTAGTGATTGAGGCCCTAGATGGATGAATGGTGGGTAGGTTTGGAGAGCAACAGAACTGATCTGTGATCATATGACCTTTTTCTTCTGTCCATTTTTCTTTCTAGGAAGAATTTCCACCTATTGAAGAAAAACTCAAAATTACTGAGAGAGCTAAAAAATCTGGACTCCCGTCAGTGGTATGTTAAAGTACATCAAACCACTTTTGTCCTACTATCTGCCTATGCATTCAGAGGTCAGATACAGCTGCAAGGACAAAAACTTGCAAACCCAAGCATGGTTCTAGATCTAGACTCTGGGGCTTTTATCTGAAGGAATAGCACATGCTTGGTATCCTAAGAAGTCAGGGTTCCCAAGAACCTAGGCTCTGATGGAGCACCTTCCTGGGTGACAGCCAGTGGGCACTGCTCCTCCTTTATTCTCCGATAAAACCATAGCAGCAATATGTGAAGCTCGATGAGACCACTTTTACAGTCCAGGCTGGTGCCAGTGTGCCGGTGCTCTGCAGTCCTGCTTAGAGTACTGGCAAGGCTGAGACTAGCATACAGTTATTAGTAGCCCTCCACTAATCAGCCTTGTGCTGCAGAGCTGTCAGTCTCAGGTTCACTCGTTCCTGTATGGCACAGGACATTCCAAAGGTGTGCTCACAGCACAACTTTTATGATTTGGGAAGATACAGGTTTCCAGAACCAGCCAGGTAACAGTAAGGATAGGCTCAATATATAACAGATCCTCTATCAAAGAGAAAACTGCTTACGTAATCTTCAGTTTTTAAAAACCAACCTTCTTCCCCTTTTATTTGCCTTAGGAATATCCAAATATTCTGTCAGCCTGCCTGCCCCCACAAAAAGAAACATTTCAGGCTGTTTTATTATTCTTGCTGTAGTTTATTGGCTACATGTTTTTTACTGCTTTGTTGTTGCTGTGTTTTGTTTTTTTGTGCGTGTGACACAGAGCCTCATTAGTTCAGGTTGGCCTTGAACTTACTGTGTAATCCAAGGCTGGCCTCAAGTTCAGCAAGCCTCCTGCCTCAGCCTCTCCATTGCTGAGATTATAGATGTGTACTGCCACACCTGGCTCTTACTCCTTCCTTAACTCCGTCATTAGACAATATTTTCAAGCTTTTTATTTTTAAAGGGTAGTGCGGAAGCAAGGAGATAGGGGAACAGCAGACCCCAGTTTTAGTATGGCTGGTCCTGGGTTGGCATTTGGAGAATTACTAGAACTCTCGACTTCATTCATCCCCCTATTCCTTCATCCGCTGTCCAGTCTCCATTTCAAGGCACCAGCTTCTCCTACCTGACACTTTTGGGACTGAGTATGACCCACTAAGCAAATAGTTTCAACATCATCTGAGTTTAGGTGGACTTTCTTGTGGTTTTGGTTGGTTGTTTTAGCATCTGATCCAAACTCAGTGATACGTTTCTAAACTTCATTTTCAGGCAGATTCTTGATTCATACCACTATTGCTGCCATATCAGATTTACCACTGTGATTCTTCCCAGGTGGTTTGAATTCTTGAACTTACTATAAATGCAGTACCTAGGAAACCCCAGGTGTTTGTGTGACAGAGAGTCATAGGTGTAGTTTTCTTTTAAATCCCTACGGTCCAGCTGTCCACTTGGACAGAGGGCTTGCTGACCTTTGAAAGGACCTGGCTTCCATCCCCAGCAGAGTAGTCACCCCTAAAAAGTATATGAATCATACTTGAAAGATGACTTATTTTTTTAAAGCAGTTTGGCATGTCACTGTGGGCCAAGCAGAGACTAAAACATAAAATCATATTGAGCTTTCTTACAACTCTATGTCCTTTGCTCCTTCAGAAGCATCTAGAATAAAGACACTTGACTTGAACTGTCTTCTCTCTGGAGTCAGAGGCACACAGGGGTTTCCTTCATTCTTTTTTCTTTTTTTGCCATTTCTTTTGTCACTCTTCTGCCTTCCCTCATGTCTCCCTGCCCCTCACAGTACCCGAGCTCCCACAGCCACACACACCTCATGGCCGCTCTGGCCCTATGCACTTTCTGAGTCTCAGGTAAGTCCTAGTCGCCAGTCCTCATCCCATCTAGAGAAGCCAGATGAGGGCCACTGTTTCTAGGTGGCCGTACTGCTGTCAGGGGATGTGCCAGAGAATTTAGTATCAGGAAATAAATGAAGCCGTAAAGATTCACTGTGGCTGAGCCTGGGGAAAGGAACCCCATGGCTCGATGGCCGTTGCAGACATCTTGTTTCCTCATCACCAAGTGAGACAGCGAAAGACCTGAGGCTAAAAGGATGGAGACACGGAAGTGCTTCCTTGCTGCTTCCTCAGCTCCCTGCACCTGGCTGGACAGAAGGAATTCTGTGAGGGAGTTCTTGTGCACGACCCAGGGACTCGCTTCCTTTTCCCTCTTGACTCCAGTGCTCAACTAGCGGTCATTTGAGTCCCAAATTCAGCTTTTCCAGCATATACAGAATTATTCCCTGCTTCTCAGTATTTAGTGAATACATTTTTGTAATTGTGGCAAATTTGTTCAGGGTTAATGCACTTTAGTTGCATGAGGTGCCATTGAATTAGTTCCCTAGGGTGCTATTGCAGCAAAATACAGCTCTGGGTTGCTGATTGGCAATCCTGTGCCCCTTGATTAGCCTTCACTTAAATCCCAAACTCTTGGATTTAGTGTCTTCTTAATATCTACTTTTGTATCAGTTTATTTTATGCTAAAGGGTATTTTCAAGGCTCTTTGGGGAAAAAAAAAAAAAGAGGAACTAAGTCTGGGATTCTTCAGCCATGCAGAAGTGACACTGACATTCAGATTGGTCAGATAGTGAACAGAACACTTCTTGTTCCTTAGCCTTCAGTTAGGACTTTTCTGTGTATGTCCATATCAGTGTGCATCACTCCTGGGAAAGCACAGCTCCTTCCTGACATGTCTTTAGCAAAGTCAGAGACTGTCTTGCAACTTCAGACTCTGAAGTTAGCAAAGGTGCAACAACAGCAGTGTAATGGATGGACACACCATCACAGGGGTCCCTTGAAACATGGGCACCTTTTTGCTGCCCCAGGCGTGGCCGATGGGGAAATTGCAGCTTTTAAGTTCAGCTCTTTCATGTGACAATGGAAGACAACTGAGTTGTTCTGGTCCATTCCTAATGGAGACCAAAATACATCCTAATGAAGAAGGGAAGTTGTTGGTTTCGCCTCCATGTTCCTGAATTACCTGCCTCTCCATGCACTGGTAGTACAGTGGGAATACAAGCCTGGCTCTAATAGGGCCAGAAGTGGTGCCTTCTTCCTAGCAGGCTCTCTGCAATGCTAGCATTTGGACAGCAGATCTGAAATTTTTTAATCATGACAAGGGAAGGTCACCTTTCCTTCACAGCATCATTGGGCCTCAGCACTGCACCTCCAGGTTGAGGTCATGAGGTCTTGATGACCATCAGCAGTGATGACAGAAGCTCTTAAGGAGAATGAACAGGAACATCTCTGACCAACCTAAGGCTGTTTTTACGTACACAATGTCAGTGGAACAAATAAAGTGAGGTAGTGAGGACTTCTCACTCTGGGGAGAAGGCTGTGGGAAGAAATTGAATAGCTATACTTTTTTCTCCTTTCCTTACAACAGTCTGAAAGGGCAAAGGTCATAATAGCTGTGATTACAGAGCCCCAATTATCACCACTCCTGGGACAGAGTGAACTGGTCGAATTCGAGGTGCTCCTTCATGCAGCAGTTTCAGGGCTCCCTACTCCATGAGAATGAGCTACCTGTCTGTGAGCATAAGGTCCCTACTACAGCATTGCACACACACCCAGGATCCATCACCACAAAACCTTCCCTCCTGGGAGCGCCTGCTCCATTCACAGGAGACACGTGCAGGTGGGCTCTGTACAGTGGGTATCAAAGCCTCAGGAAGCCCAGGGACTAAGGGGTTCTCACTGTGAATGTAAGAACACAAAAGTCCCATCAAAAGATTATAAAGATTTTTTAAAAAAGATTATAAAGGTAAGCATTTTTAAGGAAAGATAATATGAAAATGTCTTTTGAAAGGGAAGCAACTAGATGAGATTTGAGATATGATTTATCAATAATATGAAATCTTGTACCATTACAAATAACTAGGATAGAAGCACTACTACAAAAGTATTCACACTCAAAAATAAACTACAACAGTGAGTTTTAACTGGTGTATCTTACCAAGACCTTTGTAAAGTGCTCATAAATATTTTAGGTATAAAATTATTTCTGAAATAATATATTAGACTTTCATATTTCATATTTGCAAGCAAAAATGCATCTTAAGTTGGTAACAGTTTTGTTTTTCATATGTTCAAATTGCAAGCGTTTTGTGTTTTCCTTTAAGATAAGGACTCGCTGTATGCCCCAGGCTGGATCCTCCTTCCTCAGCTTCCCTCAGCTGGGATCACAAGTGTATGCTGCCATGACCAGCTGCAGTTGTTTTTTTATTTTTCTTGTTAGTCCCCTTTTTCCTTTCTATATTTTAAACATTTTATTCCAAGTACATTTAGTATGTGAAAACTACAGGAGAAGTGAATGGCTACCTAAATGAATAGAATAAATGACCATTCCTCCAGGTACTTGTATATAACGGTTCAGTTGAACCTCAGTTAGTCCTGCTCACTGGGTATAAAAATAACCTATACAGAAGGAAATGTTAGAAAATTTGTTAAAATATGGAGTCACTTCTACCTGTATGGAAGTCTAATCAGATTATAATGTGGTAATACTGTATTAGGCAACAAAATTTTCTGTGTTAGCTAGTACTTAGTAGTTTTTCTATGAGATTTTTCAGAATGCCGTGCAGAAGGGAAGAGTGGAACTGCTCTGGCAGTGGTACTCTAATTATCAGAGACTGTAGTAAAACTCGCAGGCAGTGGGTCATGGAATGAATGATTCTTTTTTTTTTTATCGGTACCAGGAATCACACTCATGACTGCCTGCTTGCAAGGCAGGCGCTGATGCCGCTGAGCTAAATCCCCAGCCCCAGAATGACCGATTCTTAACTAAAGTGCTGTGGGAATAGAAACAGTGTTTTCATCTCTAGGCTGTCACCCAATTTATTGATAGTTGTTTGCACACTTTCTCTACAGTGCAACTAACTTCTAGAAGCTGGTTATTAAGGTGTCCCTAGACAATCATATACTGGTTGGTTTAACACAGTTTATCTGAGCCCCTACTGTGCACCAAACCCTATGCTAGATGTGCAAAAAATAAAAAGACAGAATTCCTTTGTTGAAAGCTTAGATCTTCTTGATTTGACAGGCAATGGTTCCAAGTCTATCATGAGCTAAGCAAATGAAGGGTTTAGATGACCAAACAGGTTTCCTCAGACATCTGTCCACCAGGCCAGTACCCTCAGTGAGTTGGAGCATAGGACCAACATACCCTATCACAGTGAGAACGCCCATGTATGTCTGCTTGGAAGAAGTTTCTCGTTCTCATAAGAGCTTGATGTGGCATGCAGGTGCTCTCATGGAGCTACCAGAAGCCTTATGCTAAAGTGTGGACAGTGAAATGTGGGTACTCACATCGGTCAACATAATCAGTATCTATGAAATTCTTTAAAAGACATTATTCTTTGCTCCTAAAGAGGAGAGAACTGGCCAAGTGCTACCTGCTGCTGTCGTGTGCATCTTGTTCCTGAACGTGGGGTCTCAGGAGCAAGAGGACCTTGTTCCCAGTCTCCCAGTCATGTTTTACGTGCTCTTCATTTAGCGTCCTGTGTCTCCTTTCAACCACATCCATAAGGCAAGTGATGACAGTGCTTGCCTCCGTGGAGCAGTTGCAAAGAGCAAGATTGTGTCTGCATCTTAGGAGAGTGTGTGACTCCTAGGAAGTTCTCAGTGAATAGGAGTTCAAGGAATAGGAATCATACTGGTGGCAGGAAAAAAAAACAACTTTGTATGTGAGAATTCTAACTTACTTAAATTTAAAAATTTACAGCCGGGAGACACATAAAATTGCAGTATTTTACATTGCTGAAGGTCAAGAAGACAAGTGTTCGATCCTCTCTAACGAAAGAGGAAGCCAAGCTTATGAAGACTTTGTTGCTGGTCTTGGATGGGAGGTAATTTCATCCAGTAGTTTTATTGACCACCACTATTTAAAGCTGTGTGCAAACTGTTCTTATGTGTGGTTTTACATTCAAAGATAGGCTGGAGGACAGGAACTAAAAAAACACTTTGAACTTAACATCTTCTGTTCACTGCTTTTCAGTACCTTATATGTGAACTCTTGCTTCTCCTCATTTTGTTCTTGATATATTTTAAACTCTGGTCTTTTTTTTTTGGCCTCAGGGATCAAACTCACGACCTCACACTTGCCAGGCAATCACTTGTACCTGCTGAGCTAAATCTCCAGCCCTCCTCTTGATATTTTTAAATTTGCTTTGTATCAGAGCTGTAAAGTCAGATGGACTCATCGCTATACACAGTTTGTAGTAAAAGAGGAAAAATGTGGGTGGAGAAGCTATGGCTTTAGCCGCAGTATAGAGATTGGAGAAGAACAGTGGCTTAGTAGCTGAAAAGGTGAAGAAAGTCTTGGATGAAGTCAAAAGAAGCTGAAACAAAACTAGAGTGCAGTAACCATGGTGGTTTACCTATTAGCCTGTTTACCTAACACAGATCCCGAGGATGACTGATACTGAAAATCTTGGTATTTTCTTGATTGATACCCAGACACACACATACCAACAGACTTGTATCTGTCTTCTAGGAGCATGAATCTAAAGAAAATATCTCCCAAGCATCTGAAAATAATTTCAAGTATTTAAAATGGAAATCACAATACCTAAAATTATGTTCTTACTCTTTAAATATTTTCTTTGTTTTGGTTTTCCAGTTATGTGTGCTAAAGAGAAACTCCAGGGTACCTAAGCGCAGCTTGTCTCTCAGGGCTCAGCCTGCGTAAGAGGCCTGCTGGAGAGATGGGGGCAGAGTGAGGCCTCGGCAAGGGCAAGACCATGTCCTTCCTAAAACGTCTGGTGTGTTTTAGTCTAAGACCTATTCTCCTTCCGATAAACCATTGTCCTTCTTGCTAGTAAGAATGCTTATTTGTCATAAAGTATATTTACTATTCAGCACATTATTCAAACATACATTCTCAACCAAAATTTTAAGAAAAGACTCGAATATTAATTGAGTATTCTTGGCACCAGAGACTTTTCTGTTTCTTTCAATTAGAATAGGTACTTTACTGAGAGAATAATATACTTCATTGTAAGTTGAAAATTTTAGATTGAGGCACTAAGAAGTGAGCATTCCCACCATAACCCTAAATTAGTTCTGATGCATACATTTTTGGCAGTGCTGTAAACTGGAGCAATCTTTTGAAAGGCACTTGAGCACTGACCACTAGATTGTGTGACTTCTGTGCTCTGTGACCCAGTCTCTTAAGAGCAGCACTCTTCCCAGTGTTCTTCCATTCTGGGGGCACACAATCCTGACAGAGCAGTCATGTGGAGCTGTGTATGCATATGCTTCCTGTATCCCAACCCCAGGTACAGGGTGGGTTGCTTCCGCCAAGCCAGTCACTGAGTGCTTCCTCTAAAGTCCGCAGACAGAGCATGCCCTCCATAGCTTCTATTCCAGAGAATGTGAGCATTGCTTTGTTAGCTGTAGAAATCAAACTTCATCATGTATGTGCAGGACATGTCGGATTTGGTGGCTTGGTTCTATTTGTGGTTTCAGGCATCCCCTATAGGGCTTGGGATGTGTACCCTGCAAATAGGTGGAGACTGCCCTACACACACACAAACACACACGAGAAGGGAAATTAGATAAATACACAGCAAAATTTGGGAAGGAGCTTGCTTGCTTCGCAGAGAGCTAGGGCACCCAACCAGGGCCTGATACACTAGGCAGATGCTTTACCACTGGACTGCACTCCCAGTGCTTAGTGTTTTGTAGCGATTTTCTGCAGGTGGTAGTGTTACAGAGCCATTTCATTTTTAATGTGCACAACTTGAACATTATAACATGCCTGGCCTTGTACTCTATTCGTGAGCAGAAGGAAAGCTGTAGAAATAAAAGTAGCTCACCTTGTTAAGTCCCCACTGCTGCCTGGTGAGGAGGAGCAGCTCTGTCTGACCCTGTCCCCGGCTCACTCTCCCCAGGTGGATCTCTCCACCCACTGTGGCTTCATGGGCGGCCTGCAGCGCAACGGCAGCACTGGGCAGACTGCCCCATACTATGCTACCTCTACTGTGGAAGTGATTTTCCACGTTTCCACGCGGATGCCATCAGATTCAGATGATTCCCTCACCAAAAAGGTACAGTGCTTCCCTCCCTGAGGCTATCCTTGAAGAGCACAAAGACCTGGTCACTGTTCTCAGGAACTGGTGATCCTGTGGCTTTTCCTAACCAGTTTGGCAGAGCCCTGAGATGGAAGGTTGGCAAAACAAAGGGCCTGCCATGTTGCTCCTGTGAGGCCTTCCACTGGCAGAAAGTAATGCTGTTACCTGACAGTTTGGCAGAGGTCACGTGGAATGACCTTTGTGACTCTGGGAAGGTACCTCCACCCCACCCCTGCTCACCTAGGCACAACCTGCTGAATGACAAAGGCTGGTACTATCACTGCTACCACTGCCCCACTTCTGTTACACACCTTCTGCTCTCCCTCAGTCTCCTCCTAGGTATAGTGTGCCTGAGGACAATAGCCCTGTCCCTGCCAGCCTGCAGGATGCTCACCGCAGGAGACCCACGTTAGGTGTGAGGACACCTTTCTAGAAAGGGAGATTAGTCCAGTAAGGAGCCAACAGGGAAGCCCAGAGCAGCTGTGCCAAGCACAGAGCCTAGAGCCGCAAGGGGCAAAGACAGACCTTAGGTCTGATAGATGGACATACCAAAGTTTTACAAAATATTTCTTTAAAAAAGGTTGGGTTTTTGTTTTCTTGAGAAAAGCCAAACTATTTTTTTGACAAAATGTCATGCTATAAATAATGTTCCAAGGCTTGGCCTGGTTGAAAGATTTCCTACTGTAATAATCAAAATTCAGCTGATACCTTTTGCAGTGCTAAGATTTAGCATCATTAGCGATAAACTCTCTTTATCAGGATGTCTCACAGCGAGGCTAAAAATCAGTCACAGTAACAGCAGCCCACAGTTCCTCATCTTATTCTAACTAAATTGTCCCTAACAGCTTAAAAATGAGCTGTAAGATTTTAAAGTGATTCACACTCCCTCCTGCCCCTGTCATGGGGGGACTTTTTCAGTTCCTCAATCTGGTTGCAACCCCATAGTGAACTCTTGATCCTTCACTGCAGAAATTTGTTAGCTCCAGCTAGATTAGATTTTTCACAGCTAATCTAACTGCTGTAGGGGTTTGCAGAGTGGGGACAGAGCTGTGCTATTGGATTTGTCCAATTCATTTGACTCCAAGACTATAATTGCACTTATGTCTTACAAGGCTTTTATAGCCTCAGGCTGGCCAGCCGAATAAAAAACAAATTGGCAGTGATACAGTGCAAGTGAAAGGGGATGAAAGGCCCACATTATCAGTCTCCAGGCAGCGCTGTTCTGGCAGGAAGTTTCTTGGTTAATTTACAAATAAAACTTAGATTTTAGGATGGGCACACTGTCAGCTGAACAATGGGGATGTCAAGCCTGACTGTTACTTAGGAAAAGTAGCAGCCGGGCCCACTGAGGAGCAGGAATTCTTCAATCAAACAGACGACTCCTTCTGGAGCCAGCTGGCAATGTAATGCAATTAGTGGGAAAGGAGGTCAGCCCATTAGATATGGACCATGACAGTGTCACCAGTGGAGTGCAGCCTGGCAGCAGCAGGCGGAGTGACCCAGGCGGAGGGACTTAGAACTCTGTCAGGACTCGAAGTGGCAGGGCCCAGGGCATTTGTCTGGAGCCTGGTGCGCCCATGAAGCAGAAGGGATGGGAGCTGGCAAGGGTCCTTTCCCGCCCACTGCCCACGCACACAGTAACCTGGTCACTGGTGGGTTTCTCATTCCAAAGTCCCCAGGTGCACAGTGATGCCTCTGTCGAAACTCTCAGCCCAAGCCCCCTTGGGTGCTGGGGAGCATTGTGCTGTCTTTGCAGGCCCATGGCGCAAGCTAGTCCACTGGATTGGTTTCACCTACCATGTTCTTATCGCAGGCAGGAGAGAAAGAATTTCTGCTCTTTGCTCCAGATTTACCAGCCAATCAGCCCAATGGCCTTAGCTCCAAGTTCTGTGATTGAGCTAATTAAACTGTAACGTGTCCAGAAGTTGGAGGCGCATGACATTGAAAGCAGTTCTGAAATGAATGTTGTGTTAACACACCGAGTCGCTCCTCTTTAATTACAGAACCACCTCCTTGGAGGAAGGGAGTGTTAGTGTGACACTGCCATCTCAGGCTGTAGTTCTGAGAACCCAGTAGCAAGTGAAATTTGGAGAGACTTTATTGGGTTGTAAAGTAAATACTCTAGTGAGGAAAGGGGAATGCCTGAAATTTCAGTGACTGCTGTTTCACGTTAGTGCTCATACAGTGCGCTGCCTAGCTGTGGATCAGAGGGAATCACTATGGTGTCAGGTGCTGGCATCAGGTGGTAGCACGTTTGAGAAGTGTTTGGTTAGGGAGTCGTTCTCCTTTGGACACACGTTCTAGCCTTCTTCCAGGTGGCCCAGCATCCCCTGAGCTCACTGCTAAGATGAGTGTGGTAAGAGTGTTCATGTTACTTTCTGCCGATAGAAACTCCTCCCAGAGTTTCAGTTAGATGCTGCACATTGCTCTTGGAAACCTGCTTGTCCCATGTCCTTGGCAATGCCAACTGTGTTTGCACTCTGGAAGACAGCTGGCTGGAGTGTGCTGTAAGATCTTTGCTTTTTTTTTTTCCCTTCTTTTTGAGACGGAGTACTTCAGGGTGACTGAACTCACCATGTAGCCAAGGCTGACCTTGAATTCACAGCAATCCTGCCTGAGTCTCCTGAATGCTAAGATTACAGGTGTATGCCATCACACCAATGGTCTTTGCATTTTTATTAAAAAGGCAAAAGAAAGAGAGAAAAGAAAGGGAAATGTGAAGGAAAAGAAGGAGGGAGGGAGAGGAAGAAAGGGAGGACGGGAAGATGGATGGAGGGAATAGCGCTGGACTGTGGCTGAGAGGTAGAGGGTTTGCCCCCCACACACGGTCCTGAGTTCCACCTCCAGTACTGGAGGGGAAAAAAGGTGGGCATCGAGGAGGTGTTCAGCACTGCTTTGAGGACCCAGGGTTGTGGTTTTTTTTTAACTTGCGATGTGTTGGCTGCCTGCCACCCTTTAGCCTTTATATTTGTGGAGGAATGGTGAGGCAGAAGAAGAAAGATGTCCTGGGTGATTTTATGTTTAGAAGTTGTTGACCCCATTAAACCGTTATGCATCCTCATGACTTGTGCTCAGGTCCTGCAGTTGTATGTTCACCCACAATTGAATTTTGTACCATCCATGTGGGTACTGAGGTCCAGGTGCAAGGCTCTTTTTAAATAATTGACTTGCGCCATCATTCTCAGAAGCACAAGCGGGAAGAATACACAGGCATTGCAGCAAAGGGCTTCCTTTGTAACCTTATAAATGGAAAAGAGGCCGAATTGGGGTCACCTTGGGTTTCCCCTTTATGGTCAAATAGTCTATAAAGAAAATGACATGTATCCAAACATGCTTTCACTACATAGTATTCCAAAGCATCCTTTTAATCTTTAAAGACAAAACTAAACTGTTAGCTTTAACCCAGTATCTCCATTGTATGAAGCTACTTTTCACTTGTATGCTTCTAATGTTTGTCTGCTAGATGAGCAAAGGAACAGAAAACGTTTGTTTACTGTGATAGACATGATCCTGCCCTCTCTGTGCCATAAGCAGGAGCCACAGTCCTCACAGGCATCCATGGCCCTCACCTGTGGCCTACATGGTGTCTCAGCTTCAGCTAGGCTAGGCTTTCATCTTCAGCATTGAGATTCATGCTCCCAAGCTCCTCCCATGACTTTATGTGTGCTTTCTCCGGCAAGGGATGGAGTTATGAAAAGAGAATCTCTCATCTAATGGAGCCAGCCTAAAAAAACTTGCCTTTTCCCAGAGGCCTTCGTACTCTGACTACTCTGAGAGTGCAGGAATCTGTGATATGGTTGCAGACCTAGTGGCCTTTTGGTGTATAAAGTGATCAACAATCAACTAAAACTGCTTGTGCTATGACAGTAGGTAGCTTTTCATGCAGGCATAGCTACCTGAAGGACAGCCCAGGTGACTCTGGCCCAGGAGCTCCAGCCCTTCTGCACCCTGGGGAGACAGAGCCTTCCCTCCCTGAGCCCTACTTTCTACTTGTACAATAAGAAAGTGACGATGTGGTGTCATCTTATTTTATCACCACCACTGCCGTTATTAGAGCTAGCAGGAAGATTAAACCAGCTGTCTGTGTCTGCACATGTGGCACACTCATAGGGAGTGCTATTTAAATGCTCGCTACTTGGGCCCCATCACATGTAAGTAATATCTGTTCATTTCCTAAACAAAGGTAGTTCTATATATTCTTTTACTTGAAGGTACAACTCACTAGTAGTTGGTTACATGTTTGTTAGCAGTTGTGTTATAATGGCTTATGTTCTCTTACATTTATATTCTTTTGTTATAACCATTGAGTGAAGAGGCTTTAAAGTATTAATGTAATATGGAGTAAAACACTTATGTCATTAATTGTTTAGAAACTTGCTCAGCAATGTAAAGCCTGTGACTTCAATGCATAAGTAAAACTCCATTGAGAAAATGTTGGCAAGGTCTTGTCCCTATCCAGCCATCATGTGTCCTCGACACCAGGAGGCCAGTCTCAGTCCTGAACATACTTCATAGGAGATGATCTGTGTTTGTACAGAGCAGTGCTTTTTAAAGCCAATTAAAGACATCAGTATCGCGCCTTTTTTTTTTTTTTTTTTTTTTTGGTACTAGAGTTTTTGGTGTTTTTCTCTTAGCATTTCACAATTCCTTTGGGAAGCCTCAATCCCTCGGGAAACTGCTGCTACACCTTGACTCATAAAGTGCTAATGTGCTGTTGCAGCTCCGTCACTTGGGGAATGACGAGGTCCACATCGTCTGGTCTGAGCACTCCAGGGATTACCGCAGGGGCATCATCCCGACTGCTTTTGGTGATGTCTCCATCATCATTTACCCAATGAAGAACCACATGTTCTTTATCACGATAACCAAGAAACCTGAGGTACGTCTCTCCTGCCTGTTTGTCCTGACTCATGCATTTGCTGTAAAAGTCACTGTCACTGGAAAACAGTTACATGATTGTGCTAAAGGACACTCATCTCCCACTGGCAACTGACCTGTGTATATCCACATTACTTGTGCTGTGCAGGAATCAGCAGGAATTGGGGTCTTTAAAGAATCTTTCAGACATGAGCACCAACTGTCACATTTGATTACTTGGCCTCTATGAAAAGTGTATCAAAGAAATGTATATCTTTAAAATACTTTAAGTTTTTTAAAAGTTATTATTTTTAAAAAGATTCTGACATTAGATGGGCACACTGGCTAATAAGAGTTGAAGGAACCGCACTAGGACATCTTGCATTTGGAGACTCCTGGGGATGTAGAATCCAGCCTTGTGGGTGGGTGGGCATTGCCACCAACCCCTGGTGGACTGCAGGCGTGTCTTCCAAAGGACTGGCCGTGGGCATAGGACCCATGTGACAGGTTTGACAGTTCAAGCATCGTGCCCCAGAATCAATGCAGTCTGTCAATTGCTATTGATTGTAGGGTGGCTGGAACAATCTGTGGTCTCTGTTCCCTGTGCTAAATTGGCTGCAATTTCAATTGCTGTCATGCCTTCAGTAGTATTTTAGCAGTGCATTCTATTCTGATTTACTTTTGTTTTGGAATTGTTAAATATTTATCATATTAAGCTAGTCAAGAAAAAATGACTCTGTTTTTGATTGATATTACATATAACCTTCATTTTCCTTCCAAAGTGTTCTCTTGAAGGAGATGAACATTACCACTTTGTAAAAGCTCCCTGAGATTTAGAATAGTAGGTTATTCTCCGAGATTTGTTGCTCAAATCAGTACTGATAACCTAATCTAAAATATTAAAGTTGAGAGGATTAAATGAGCTCATTAGTAAAAAGAACTTCAAACAGTGCCAGGCCCAGAGTGAAAGCTGTGGTTCTTACTATTTTATCACTGCCTTAGTGTTCTGTTATAGTTACTAACATAGAAATAAAATCAATCCTGAAGCCTGTGTTTATCATGCATAGTAATTCTCTTTCTGGGTAAGCTTGGGTCAACTCCTGAATCAGGATTGCGCTGCCCTGGTTGGTGTGTGCTGCCATAAAGGGAGCCCTCTCCTCTGTCCACAGGGGAGAGGCCAAGGTTCATGGTCCCTGTTGGGAAAGTCTCTGTTTCAGACCTCCGCGAGTGTAAGGAGTTTCAGTCTTGTACTATAGGAAAGGGCATTAGTACTCATACTAGTACTTGTCCATGAGGACCACCACTCTCAATTCTAGAATTAAACTGAATACTATAATAATAGAGGTCCAGTCAGTTTAGTATCTTGCAGCGTTCAAAAATAGACGTTTAGTATTGGTTAACTGACTTTATCAGTTCTTTTTTGAAACTGCCCTCTAAAATGTAATTGAAAGTCCTAGGAGTGTCATCTTTATTTTTGAAGTAAGTGAAGATCATGAAAGGTGTTTCGATTCACTGGGAAGTGTCAAAAATGAGTTTTTAAAAAGTAGCATAAGGTGCATAAAAGTCTTAAATATACCTTTTAAATTTCCTGACAAAATATGTAAGTTTTCCAAATTTGATCATAAATTCTGACAAGATAAATTGAGCAAATTGCTCTCTTCATATTTTAATTCAAAAAGTCTAAAGGAAAGAGGAGAATAATGGGTACTAGAAATTTAGGGCTATCCCAACATTTAAAGTGCAGACCATTACAATGTAATAAAATTAATCCAGACATTTCCAGGGCAAGTGTGGCTGACCTTTTGTTCACCAACCACTGACCCCAGGGTGAATGCAAGAGGTTTTCGGAGGGAAAGTCTGTTTGTTTGGCTTGGGTCCCTGGTATTTAAATTGCATTCCCTAATCAAATGAAAAGGCTGTCCTCTCTATCAGGTTACAGAATCCATGGCAACATTTGGCCTTTTATATCCATAATGCTAGCCTTTTTTGTTTGCATCTAAGTAGAGACACCTGGAGCAATGTTAACATTAACCGATTTAGCATTAATAGCTTCATTATATAAGAATTTCTGATCAGATAGCTGTTACTTTTGTTATATTGCTTCAGCTTGTATTGTTGTCATTTTTTATCTCCCTGCTTGGCAACCAGGCAATGATTTGCAAATTTTTTTTGTCTTGATTAATTAAGCAATATAATTATCAGTAACCATGATGCAGTCTTTGCTCAACAAAGCTTCTGAGAGAAAACAATGGTAAGTCTGTTAGTGTGAATGCATTCCACGCGTCCCAGATGCACGAGGATATTATGGACAATGAGGGGAAAGGCCGCCTGCGAGCGAGGACAAAGGGTGCCACGCAGACTCGACACACTGCACATACCGCCAGGGACATGCTGCGGGCTCCCCGGGACACAGACGCCTCGTTAGATTACAGCTAGTCAGCAGAGATTAATTCTCAGCCATGTGGTGCAATAATTTACCCATTCCCTGGTCTTTTAACTGGAGTTCCTTGATATGGAAGTGAAGGCTTTGTATTCAAAAGCTTGATTTAACCTTGCCTACTTTTAGGGGTTGCCATCAAAATAATTATTTTTGCCTAGAGATTGTAATGATGCAGCTGCTTGAAGTTGAGAAATCCTCCTTTTGGAAATATTCCTGTACAAGTTTCAGAAATTGTAGGTGGAGTCAAAGGCATTCTTTTAGCACCTGTATATTTTATCAGAATGTAGTATGACTCTGGTCTAAACCCATTTCTTTTACTGATCTCTGGGCAGCCATACTTCCCTAAGAATAATTTTAATCCTTTTTTAGGAGGAAAAGAAAACCTCATCAGTACACAAAAGTCCTGCTCATTGGGTAGAGTCATGCATATTCAAATCACACTTTCATTCACTTGGCCTCATTAATAGCGTATGTAATAATGTGGGGCTATTTGTAATACAAGCTCACAGGCAGCATTGCTTCCAAGTCCTTTGAAATTTAACATATTTCGCTTTTTCATTCCATACACCTCCCTTAAATATACAAATTATGTGCCTGGCAGAATCTGCCTCCTCTTAGTAACATCCAGCATCTGTGACCTGGCATGCTAAAGCACGGGTGTGCGGCACCCAGAACCCTCAGGCTGAGGGCACTCCTCCCTCCTGGAGCGCTATACTGAACTACTTTTTTTATTATTAAATTGAAAAACATCAGTGTACATTCACTGCTAAATTATTTCATCATCTCATTGTTATTTTTAAAATGAACCCATCTCCATAAATAGTGATGTACTAGTCTGTTAGTTACAGGAAAGATCCGTATTGTTGTCAGGGTTATGGTCAAGCTTACATTTTTTTATACTTTCATCCCCAAGTCAGCCATGCTGGCAAGACTTGCACATAGGGCAACATGCAAGTGACTCGGGACTAGATAGGACACCCCGTGTTCCTCAGCAGTGTGACTCCCAGAGGTTCTGTGCTCTAGGGACCACCGTGTTGCCCTCTGGTCTTTCAGTGTTTGGAAAGGGATGCCATAGTCACTGTGTGTACCTTCATGGATCTAGGAAGGTTTGTTTCTGAGTCTGGGATGCGCTTAGCTCCAGGCACATCTGTGACCGTGGGAAGATGTCCTGAAGCATCCTTGACGGGATGCTGTTGAGAGGAGAGGAGGATGTGGCAATGGCGAAGGATTCCCTCCTCGCGTGCACAGACAGAGAACCATTCAAGTGCTCCAAGCTCTTCCTTCTCAGCCCTGGCCCATGTGGTATAGGCGAGGAGTCAAGGACAGGCTCAGGGGAAAAGAGCGGGCACCAGCAGCCCAGTTCACAGTTGTGCACGTGAGGTATCTCAGGCAGGGGTCTGTTCATTCTTGTCCTGGGGACCAGGGTCTCTTGATGTCTTGTCAGGGAATATAAGGACTGCCCCCAGGCCCTGACTCTGCCCATGGCTCTGTCAAGGTGGCATTTGGCCTTCTGTAGTGCCAGCAGCTCTGTGTGTGCACACATGTGGTTGTGCGCATTTGTGTGTACATGTGTGAACTTCCCTGTTCAGGATGACATGTAGCCTAGGACCTGGGTGTGGAATAGGTTCCCAAAATCCTGGCAGAAGCTGATTTTCAGAAGTCCTAGTGCATTATCACTGAGGAGGCCAGAAGGAGCGAGCATTGTGCTTGTGTGGAAAGGGGCCATGTCACTAAAGCAGCCTGTGACAGAGGGCATGTGCTTGACTTTGATTGTGGTTGTGTGAATTTCTTCCTTGTTATTTTACATGTGCAGCTTTCTTAAACATGTATGCCTACCCTGACCAGATAACCTCTTTAGAGATTGAATCCTGTCCTTCAGAATACTCTGGGGGAAGTGCCCTGGAAAGTGAGCTAACTTTGTCATATACAAAAAATCATTCATTTATAGAAGATTCCTGAGAATACCAAACCTGAAAATTTACTAAGATGATGTTAAATGGGTTGTTGTGGTGTAGTCTGTTAAGTGATTTAGTATATTATCATTATTAGCATTATTTTTAGTCCAGGAATGGCACTGAAAACTACATGAAAAAGTCTGTCATTTGCAAATGTGATGTCAAAATCAAAATTTTTTCTAACTCATAAGCACTTCTAATTAGAGGAATTCCCTGGATATTCCTTTGCCCAGTTTTTTGAAAGACTGAGTCACCCATAAGCAGTTACCAAAGAATAATAAAGAATAGTTATTTATGCAGTGAGCCTCACCACAAGCAGGAGACAGTCTGTAACCTAACTGTTGGCAATACACTCCTAGCTTCTGTTTTAACTTTCACAATAGTTTGGCTTTTGAGAATTCTTCTTGGTTGATTTTCCTGAGAAATTAAATTTATTTTCCCATTTCTTGCTTGGTCTTTGACATGCATGTCTTCTAGTCACTTGGTTTCTACCCTCTCCTTCGGTCGGCCAGAGTCAACCTGTGCCAAAGTGCTCCAAATGGCAGTGACAGCCCGGTCTGTGGCACAGACCTTGGGGTCTCCAAGGCAGCCTTTCTGTCCCTGTGCATAGACAATCTCCGCCCAGCC